GCCTGCTGTTAGTCCCACAGTCTGAATGCACAGGGCTATGTGTCAGTGGGGGGCACTGATACCCTGCAGTGTATTGAGTGACTGCCAGCACGTTCTGTACACGCGCATTTGGTTCCATAAGGAACTTTGGGGAAACCTGTGGAAAAATATCTGAAGAAAACCAAAATGCCAAACGTTGAATGTTTCTTTCCTCTCTTCTTTCCTTTTCTTCCTTTGGTTGTTTTAATTGTTCTGTGGTGGTTTTAATGGATTTGAGACAGCGGAGCAGCAGCTGCCTTTCTGATTTTTGGCTGCTTTTTGTGAATAATTTAAAAAGAAAATTTACATTTTGGAGACAAACCTGTGGGCTTTTTTATTGGTACAAACATTGTATTTAACACTAGGGGTTTTGTACAGTTTTTTGCCTTTTCTACTAGAAAACAATGTAAAGTGATTCACAATGTGACGAGAAAACAAATTGCCACTATGACCAAATGTAGAGTCTGTTCTGCAGTAACGGGATTTAATCAACTCGAAGTCGTGGTTCAGTCGTAGAAATGCTTTTCTTTACCTTGTTTGAGCTGTTCCTTTTTTTCTTGTTTTGATTTGCAAAACAAAATGTCTTTTTGTGTGAAATTGTGTTGTACTCTGTAGAGAATTACGGATTTTACTTTAATGGTTTAAAAAGCAGAGGAGCATGTGTTGCTTTTCTGATCTGATCACAGAGTTTGTGTAGTGGATTTAAAAATGAAAAGATTTGTTACAAGTTTGGAACGAGCGAGTATGTGTTAAAGGAATTTTCTTCCTTTTGTGTGTGTGTTTTTTTTTCTTTTTGTCCCAAAGGGCAACTTAAAGCTGTTTTAATTGCACAGACACACCGACAACAAGTCATTTTGTATATGCCAAGTGTGGTACCTTCCTTTGTTTATTTGCTATTAAACTGTTTGAGAAGAGTCCTTGTGTGTTGTATTTGTGTCTTAAACTTGAGGCTCTTTTTGGGTCCAGGTGTGGGAAGATGAGGAGAGAGATGAGAGAACTATCCTCCAGTTTCTTAGCTATGAGTCACAAAAATTTTCGTGGCCCAACACCACTTGTTCTGGATGTACAGTATAACCCTGGATTCTTACCCGTATGTAGATGAGCTACTTTGAGTAGAAATGGACAAGGTTTTTTTGGTTGTTTAGCCTCCATTTTTTATCATTTGGCAGCCAAGTTGCCTTTAGACATTAGATACAGAAAAGTAGAGAGTCCTGGATAATGCAAGTATGTGATGCACTGGGGAGTGAGGTGTCAGCATATCCAGCCTCACGGAACTGGTGCTGCATAGCCACCCGCCTGTCCGTGCACTGTGCTTCATGGTGTCTCAAGGGCTAAATAACTCTGGCATAACACCAGACTTCAGCTGTATAGGAACAGCACATGCACGGGGGGCGGTAGGTAGGCACCAGCTCATACCGCTCCTATAAGCCCCATATGCCCCTCTGCCTCCTTACCACTCCAGGAACACGGCCGAGCTTGCTGAACTTACCCCGGTTCTGCAGCATGGAGGTATCTGCAGGCCCCAGTCCTGGTCCTGGGAATACTATGCAAGGAAACCCTGAATGGCTTGGGATTACTTACTAGCTCAGGTTTTGTGATAAGCAAAAGTTACCTGCTTTGCTTTTACAACTCAGATAATCATTTGAAATAAAAGGAGTTGTAAAAAATAAATATTTGGTGCAGGCAAAGTATAACTCATTTAGAAACTTGCCATGAGTTTGACATTAATATTGCTTCTCTCAGAAGGAAAGTACCACAATGGCCATGACGTTGCCACATTTCTGAAAGCTCTTAAAATTCAGTGATGTTACTCCTTCCTTCTGCTGTCTTGCATTTCAGAGACTGCGAGTGTTCTCAGGGCAGCTATGTTTCTCCTCTGTGTCCTTTTCCTCTGTTATCTGGCATACTCTGTTTCACCCCGTTACTTCCTACATGATTGTAAATCTGAGAGCACTTGCAAGCATCAGGATTCAGCGCTGCATTCCTTTCCCGGCAGCGCACCAATGGCAAAGCGAGGCACTGAGCCACCTGTTGCGCAGTACGCTGGGATCCTGGCAGTTAATTTGCAGCTGTTGAGAAGGGAGGCTGGAGAGATTGCGGTTCAGATATGTCTGAGGTGAAGGATGGAGAGAAACAAATCAGAAAAAGGGTTTGTTGAGGCAGGGTGGAAGATTCCTGCTTGTGCAAAAAGTTGGCTCGCCTCATCTCACGCAGTCAAAGCTCTGTCACTTGCATCTTACAGAACTGATACTAGATCCCTCTGGGTAGGTGGCTTGTTTTTTTGAAGGTTTTAATTTAAAAGGCCGCCACCAATCAGTAGATAATTAAACTACAAATAAGAGCCAGTGTATTACCCTCTGAAAATAATCAGCATTTCACATGAATTCTTACATTTAGCAACATCAGTAGGAAATACACAAGCCTGTAGATTAAGTCCTGATGTTAAATGTTTTTAGAAGACATATTTTTCTTCTCGCACCCGCCTCCACATTTCACTACTTGTTTTTACTCAGTCTCCAATCTTCCTGACGTTACTAGCCATGTTCTGCTGTCTTCATATGGCCAGGAGTCACTGGGGATACATTACAAAGAGCAATGGAGACGAAGACAAGCAGCTCGGTGTGGTCACTCTGAAGAAGTGGCTGCGTGATTAGCTACACTGCATGTATAGCTCCACTACCTGACAGGTGAGATTCCCTAATTTGGTGTTTCCATGCACCTTGCAGGCTTATTTGCAGTTCCTAAGAAGAAACCAGACCATTTACTGTGGAAGCCATACCTGAACTTTGTACAAACTAGAGCTATCTTGAGCCCCAGACTGATGATCACTCTGCCGTTACTTTCTCGAAGCAGCACAGGTAGTCAGTGTCTTGGTCATTCTACCCATTTATCCCTTCTTATTTAGGAAGCCACACTGGGCTCAGAGTGGTATGTTCCATATCAGAGTATGCTTCTGGTTTTCGAAAATGATCAATTTGAGCTTCAGGGATCTAGCCCTTACTTTAATAGGAAGTTTTTCTCTCAGTAGGCGAGTTGTGAGTTGATTCTTAAGAGACGAAGTACTGTTTCACAGGAGAATTCAAAAGCAACTGAGTACAGTGTAGTCAACAGAATGCATGACAGGTCATTTCCCTCCTGTTCGACAGGTTTTGTCAGACTGCAAGGTATCCTCTTCTCACTTCGCCTATGCTTTGTGGGATATGAGAGTTTGAGTTACAGGCATCTTATTTGCGGAAGGTTAATTTTGCAAAGGAGTCTGCTCCAGCAAAGAATTACGTGATTTTTTGTTTTCCCCCTTCTTGAGTCCTAGCGTGATTCTTCTACGTAGCAGACTCCAGTGGTTGCTGTCTCTGGCCTCTTAACTTCTCCAGGTCCAGAAATCTGATGGGCTCACCATTACCAGTGCTTTCCATGGGGATCGGTCTTCTGCATCTCGTGCCCATCCCACCATCCCACCTCCAGAGAGACGGATGACAATTAGTGCAGGGAGGACAGACTTTTTTGAATTCTGAATTGGACTTTTATGGAAGCCCTAAAAATCTATGAAGTACCTACATAACAATTTTAACAGTGCTGCTGAGGTGATTTTTGCACGTTAACCAGCTGTGCCTCAGTGTTACTCTTCCTTAGCCTTCCGCAGATATTTCCACAATTTCTGCTTCCAGAGTCTGAAAGTACGCAGAGTCTATTCTGAAACATTGTCTAGCACATTACCAACTCAAAAACAATGCTAAATTAAATAATGCAAATATCATGGAGTATATAAACCTCCAAAAGAGTATCAGTCTGATTGTAGCAAGACTTTTTTACCATTTAGAATGCTTTTCTTTTAAAAATATTTTTCTGATGAAATTTTGGGTAAACTTATGGATGGAATCTCTTAAGATCATTACTGCTATGATGTAAAGCTTCTGGGTAGACTGTCGTTCCTTATTCCTTTGCGTCCTGCTTTCCTTAGGGATATTACCTCAGGAAGGGCCCCCCCCCCAAAAAAGGCGGGGAGCAGCTGGAGACATGTCTGCTTCTGCGTGTGGATCTGTTGTTAAAACTCTGAATTGCCATTTCTTCTCTTTGGCCTGTAAAACAGTCCCAAAACAGTTGTCTGGGACTTCTGTATCTGAAAAACATTAGACCTCCCTGAAGCATTCCTCCTTGCAAGTTTGGTATCTCTTCTATGAATGACAGAGTAAATCTGTAGATAACAAAGACTGGCCCCATTAAAAATGCAGCACATCAGTGGGGGTATGAAACTTGATTCCTAGAGGAACCAGTCTAGCTTTTACTCTTTCAAAGGTGTGTAGGAAAGTTAAAGCTATCTTCTAATTGGGCTAACAATTCTCTTACGCAATCAGAAGGTGCAGAAATCTGTTGCTTTGGGTCATTGTTGCTATTCTTCATAAGAGATCAGCAAGTTCTGGATGCAGAACTTCAGCAGTGCCTCTGAAGACAGAAGTCGGTGCTGTATTTGCAGCAGATCTGTGACAGAGCTGACCTTTGTCCACAGGAACAGTTCAGCTGAGGTCCTCAAAAGGGAGGCTGAATTTTGTGCCTGGCAAAGTATTGGGCACATTGTTGCAAGCACAGTACTGCACGTGCGTACATGCTGGAGCCTTCTAGTCCATACCTTACTTTTTAAGGTGTGTATTGTTCCTAAAGCTGCTGTCCTGGCTGGGGCCGCTACCTCCCAGGCTAGCCCACCACCACCAGTGCTTGTAAAAGGGGATGGCCAGGGGGAGAGACATGCCTGTGGCTGCAGCTGATTGTCTCTCCCTGGGGTATTATAAGCTGCATACTGTCGGGCAGGGGCGGGCAGTTGGCTGGCCATGACCTTGGGAGCTGGGGAGCCTGGCCAGCATTCCCGGGAGCCACGTGAGCCGGACTGGCAGGCACAGCTGTGGCCAATGGGGAGGAGACCAGCGCTGGCTGCTCGGATTGAGTTTCACTCCTGTCGCCTGAGATTTTTCTCTTTCTCTCTCTGTTGTGCTTTTCCTCTTTGTTTATGGCATTGGACAGGCGAAGGCACTGACGGAGTCCTAGCGAGCGAGACGTTTGCCTGTGGATTTGGGATTCTACCTTCAGTGCTGAGCAACCCCTGCTTGCCGTTGCCTCCCACAACTCCAGCCCCCTGACATGGCTGGGCTCTTACGGCTCCAAGCCTTCTGAGCACGCAACCCGCCCTCCTCTGTTAGGGCATTTTATGTTGTGTTCACTTCTTCTATGCACTTCCTTTTTGCTGTCCTTAGAGGTTAGTGTACGAGGCTTTTAATGCATGGGAGATGGGTCAGGACCAGACAAAGCAACAGACAGAGAAAGGACTCCATCTTTACCAGTCTAATCAGACCGAAAAGGCCCTGCGAGTCTGGATGAGGGTTTTGGAGAAGTCTGCGGATCCTGCTGGCAGGTTTCGGGTTTTGGGTTGCCTCATCACTGCTCATGCAGAGATGGGCAGGTACAAAGATATGCTGAAGGTAAGGTGAACTGGAGATGAATGCATGCCATTGTGTCGCACCCACTGCGGAGAGTGGCTGGAGATTACGATGTGAAATCGGGGGGGTTGTTTTGTATATAGTAGAACATACCAGCTATTGAGTGCATACTGTGGGCTGCCGTAATCACTGCATTGACCAATAGCTCCAGCCCACAGGATACACAGAATACGACTTTTCATTGGGTCTGGTCCCTCAGGATCCTTAGGTTACTGAGGTTCTCCAGTTAATCATGGGGACCTTTCTTGATTTATTCCCCACATACAGGCACACCACGTTACCAGGCTTCAGGAAAAGGTATGAAAACAGGGCCTTTGCTCCACTGGAAGCTGTTTACAGTGTGTATGTCAGTGTAAAAAAGAGATCTCCAAATGGATTCTGTAGAATAAGCAGGAGTCTTGTGGAGACGTGTCTGTTATCTTCTTGTTCAACTGCTGTTTGATACCTGTATTAGATCTTACATTGTTTTTTACGACAATTATTTGTTTGCAAGGGGGCTGATTAAGAGGGGAAAGAGGGTGCTTTGGGGAGTAGAAGGTGGGGGGTGAGAGATGTTCCAGGAGGGGTATGACAGTTGGGGTCAGAGAGGGGTTCCCAGTTGTCAGAACAGCACAGAATAAAGAAGGATATGGGGCTTGAAGGGAAAAGTGGTAAAAGAAGCTGAAGTTACATTTCAAGAGCATGAGGATAAACATGTTTGATTAAACAAACAAAAAGAAGCTGATGTGTGGATCTGAGAAGTAACAGGATGCATACAGAGAGCAGAAGGCAGTGTTCAAGAATCTGGAAGACAAGGCAAGAGGATGTTGTAATACAACTGTCCCAGCCTGAAATAGGGTCTTGCTAAAGGGCCTTGATATTCTTGTCCTGATGTTTTTGGTTGTCTCTTACTAGACTGGCAATCATTCAGCATTTAGCACAAAACATAAAGCGGGGACCCACAGCTCAGTCAAAAGTTTTTGGTAGCTCTGTTGGGGGGGGCACATCTTGCTAGTAAACCCAAGCACATGTCAAAGCCCTATCTTAAAACAAAATACTTAGGATAAAGAAGAAAAGAGGGGTATTGATACATTTGGAAAACATTTGAAGAAAAACAATTCTGCTAAGTGATACGGATTTAGGTAGTGGCAGAAACTGGTAACAGACTGATTACAAAAGAGAGAGACAAAAAAGGTAAGGTGTGGCTACCTGTAGGAAATTCTGAAGGCTTCATGGAAAGCAAGAAACAGGCAAAAGAGTGGGCTCAGTATACCTGAATCTTAATTCCTTACCTGAGAAGAGAACAGAAAGTGGGATCAGAGTAGGTGAATTTTAGTTCTTCCCAGTATTTGGAAGGAAAAATGGCTTCGGTCCAACTGAAGATTTTACACTGCAAGTGGCCAAAGACAGAGGAAGGAAAACTTTAGCAATAAACCATTGAGAGAGGAAATAACAGAAGAAAAGCAGTCAGAATTAAAGGCATTAAATTAACTGATTTAAATAGGGTTAAGATGCTCAGTCTCTTTTGGAGAGAAAAATTACATTACACCAAGGAAAGAGGCAGTGGCAATCAGGAAAAGATTAAGAACTTTCACAAAGGTAAGGGAACGTGGGGAAGCGTGTGCTAATGCACATTAGTGGGTCCACACCGCAGCTTTCCTAGAGTGCCAAGGAAACCAAGAACATATATACCCAAACATACATAATTTATGGTGGTTGTTTTTATTCTGTAAAATGTTCTAGTAGCTTAAATTACTATGTATTGCCACTATACAAAAAGGAAGTAATTGGTGCCCTTGGGAATTGTTACCGATAAACCTAACTGATAACCTCTAATGAAAACACGTACCGAGAAAATTGCTAAATACTTACCTTTGCTACTGGTATTAATTCAAGCCAGCAGTGTGCTTGGTTCATCACTAAACACGAAAGATTCACTGCTCAGAAGAGTTTGCAGCCTATGAGAAAGAGACTTAACATCATTTAAGAGAACTGTACACAATGAATGCTGAAGGTTATAGAACAAAAAACATCAAGACTGCAATTTGTTAGTAAAACAATGCTTACTTTCTTTTATTAATAGAGTACTTTAATATCTTCAGAATTCCAGAGAAAGTGGAATAAATTAAACTGAATGAAAGAAAATGAGCTGCATTATGCCAGATGTTCCCCGCTTTACCTGCTTCTCTTTAAGGCCATTTAACAGCTTTTTTCGACTAACCGCCAGCCTAGTTCACCTTCCTTGCCTCAGAGACCCTGTGGAGAGAGGGAGAGGTTCCTTCAGACTGCTCATAGACCTTTTAAACCACCAGATAACTGCTGAGTGCATACGATGCTTCTCAGTCTATGCTGCTGGACTTCTCTGCCCTGCTCAGCGCTGAGCCCGTTCTCCAGTACAGGGTGCTACTCTGTGGGTGTTCGAGCTGTACTGAAAAAAACTACACGCTCTTACAAATGCTGTCTTTTCTACTTGAAGTTTGCAGTGGTACAGATTGACACAGCACGGGAGCTGGAAGACCCAGATTACCTTACAGAGAGCTACCTAAACCTGGCTCGCAGCAACGAGAAACTCTGTGAATTCCAGAAAACAATCTCGTACTGTAAGACATGCCTGAACATGCAGGGCACCACTGTGAGCCCGCAGCTGAACGGCCAGGTGAGCCTCAGCATGGGCAATGCCTTCCTGGGCCTCAGCATTTTCCAGAAGGCTTTGGAGTGCTTTGAGAAAGCCTTGCGCTACGCACACAACAACGATGACAAGATGCTGGAGTGTCGAGTCTGCTGCAGCCTCGGGAACTTCTACGCCCAGATAAAGGTGCGGTAACCTGAGGGATGGAAGGGTGATTGTCTCACGGATTCAGGAAAGAATGGGAAATGGTGTGAATTTCACGTTGTTTCTTTGCTATAGAAAGTGAAGTCCTGAGAGAGCGTTGTAAGCTAAAAATCTCATCTTTGTAAAATCATCATTGAGGACTCTCCCTCAGAGTAAGGATGGGAGGATGAGCGTAACGTTTATATAGCACAACAGAAGCAGCTGTGAATATTCCTGTGTGTCGAAAAGATCAAACTTAGCTTCAAAGAAGATCACATCAGAGGAGGTGCTGTCTGCACTCAGGGCTGGCAGCCAGAACTCAAGGATTCTCTCTTTCTACTGCTATTGCAGGCAAATAGCTAACTACATGAGCAAAACCAGGCAGGAACTGAGGATGGAGGTGATTTGCCAGTTCTAACTTCTATTACAAACAGCAACAAATAAGTTTTCCTTACAGTGTCTTGATTTTTGTCACTAATGGAAGACTCGCCAACTGAAGTGTTGAAAACTATCAGTAAACTTCCCTCATAATACCAAAAATAAAGAACAGAACATTGTGCTGGATACTTTTAAGGTACAAAATAAGAAGGCAAAAAGGAGGTTTTAAGAGTTGCGGCTTCCTTTGTGCATCTTTGAGAATTAAAAAATATGAGGACCTTTTCATTTCTGCAGTCTCATGTAACTTACTTTGGAATGGTTTTAGATGTTTAGATAATAGTTTTACATACTTGTTGTAAAATAAGATTTCTTTCTAAACTGCTTTTAATGCAGAAAGATGCTTAAAAATGAAAATGTTATGTCACTACTTATTGTGGATTTGGTGATTCTTTGTTCCTGTTTCCTGCAATGCTGGACAACCAGCCTCGTGGAGATCCTGACTTACCATATGGAGAACATGAGGGCTCCATGTAGGTGTTGAAAGCGGAGATGATGTAAGAGCAGAGAAAGTTTTCAGCCTTCGGTTATAGAGGAAGGTAAAGGGTTCCTGCAGAGTAAAGCTGATGGCATACTGTATAAGAATCATTTGCTGTGTCATTGCCCTGGTGTCCTGAACCCAGAGAGCAATATGAATTCAGTATATGGCAATTCCACTTTCCACGGTTTTATATCCAGTGAAAACATCTAGTGAAATACGGCATGTGGAAGAGGAGCAGCAGGAGTTGAAAGCTTTACAGAACCTGCTAGCCGTTGCAGTGTTAGTAAATAAAAAATAGTTGGTGTTTTTTTTTTTCTTTTCTTTTAGCTTTATTTTTGCTGTAACATCCGTCTGTCTGCTTGTCTGCCTTACAGGACTACGAGAAAGCCTTGTTCTTCCCATGTAAAGCGGCTGAGCTGGTGAATGATTATGGAAAGGGCTGGAGCTTGAAGTACCGTGCAATGAGCCAGTATCACATGGCAGTGGCCTATCGGAAGCTGGGGCGCTTGGCGGATGCTATGGACTGCTGTGAGGTATAGGGTGCAGGCAGACGCAGAGCTGTCAGAGGTCTCTGCAAGGGGATCTTGCCCCCAGGACTGGGAGGAAGAGAGATACCATGGCATTCACACTTGACTCTAGATGTTCCTGCTGCCTCCCAGTCTTAGAGCTGTGGTTTCAGTAGCCCAGGGGGGCCTCAAAAGTTTGGGTTTATGAACGGCCCTTGGTTGGGAACGCGTGAACATGACTTAATTTGCCTTAATAAGATTGTGCCATGTCTTTGGAGCTGACCTTTCTGTGGCTGGAGTGCACAGTCCCAGCCCTGCTGTTTTGAACCAGGAACAAGTCCTTTTACTGACCAAAGATAATTTCTTTCAGGAGTCCATGAAGATTGCCCTGCAGCATGGTGACCGGCCTCTGCAAGCTCTGTGTCTGCTGTGCTTTGCAGATATCCATCGCAGTCGCAAAGATGTGCAGGTACAGCTCTTTCCTGCCAGGAAGGGCAGAGGGGATGGCAAGAGGGTGTGAAAATCAGGCCGTAGCAAAACATGTGTTTTCCTCCCTGCTTCTGCAGACAGCCTTTCCTCGGTATGATTCCTCCATGAGCATCATGACAGAGATTGGAAACCGCCTGGGCCTGATCCAGGTGCTGCTAGGAGTGACTAAGTGCTGGATGATCCAGAAGGAGCTGGACAAGGTCAGTTACAAACTTGTTTCCACAGAAGTTTGTTAGACAAGATCAGAGCATACAGCCTTTTTCTGAACTGTGCGCCCAAGAAAGTGCAGTAGAGATCTGTAGCCCTTGGTTCTACCAACAGGGTCTGTTGCTTGTACAGTTACGTTTCTCTGAGTGGTCCCTCTCAGCCGGGAATTTGTTACTAACAGTATGAACGTCTGTTCTGAATCAGACTGCTAACTTACAGAATTGTCTCATTAGTCAATCCTGATGATTTTAAGCATTACACTAAGAAACTAGCACTGAGGGAAGGAAGCCTGCTCCTGCCATTGTAGGCAATCAGCTTATGCTTATGCTCTGAAATAGATTTCGATGGCTACTTTTTAGCTACATGACTAAGCTCATCGTTGCGATAGTGATGATGTTTCGACAGCTCTACAGCTCCACCGTGTGCTTTGCAGATAAACGTGGCATCAAATTCCTGGAGGAACTTTGAAGGTGTATAAACTGTGATGGGAAACGGAGAAATGAGAGCAGAAAATCATTTGGGAATAGACAACCGGTCAATATAGTAGAAGGGTGTGACGTTACTTATTTTGAAAATGTTTACGCAGTGTATACATGTTAACACCCAGACTGCAGCAACACTGCTGGGCTGCAGAACGAGATGCTCAAAGGTTAGCCTTGAAGTAGGGCTGAACAACCTGGAGTGCATGCACAGTGCCACATCAGGATGCTGCTGTGGGTGTCGGTATAATGAAGATTCACTCTTATCGCTCACAGGAGACACAAAGAATTTTATCTCAGACAAAGCATCCCAGATATTAGGAAATCAAGTGCGTGTCTGTCAGACAAGACAAGAGCAAGGTGCTGTCAGCATCTGAGTTGCCTACAGCAGGGAATCAGTTGGGTGAGATACACCTTGCAATCTCAGTAAGTAAACACTACGTTTGCAATGGAAGAAGAAATGGTGGACTTAAAAACTTTGCTCAGTGTAATCCCTTCCCAGCCTCATATATCATATTCAGAATAATGGGAACAGGATACACACAGCAGGCAGGTTGCTACACAAGAGAATATTCAGAGCACTCATCAAACGTCTACATCCACTGATCCCACCTCCAGCCACTGCCACCCTCTGATATCACAAGCAGTTCTCACCTGTGTGAGCCTGGTGAGGGCTTTGCACAGAGTCCTAATCTCACCAAAACCCACAAAAGAAGAGAATTAATATACGAACCCTGTACTCTGTTGCAGGCATTAGAAGGAAGTCTGGTCCAGTGGGTCAGGGACCTTATGCCCATTGCCCCAAATGTGACCTCCTCAAATGTCACAGCCCTGAATACTCGCTCACCCAAGCCTGTTCCTCAACTTGCCAGTCCGTTTCCATTTCTCATGCTACTTATCTCGGTATCAGTTACCTAATAAAGCAGACTGCTAACTTTCCACTTGCAGATTCCCTGTTGTTGTCCTAGCTTCCTCCATGTTTCTGGTCTCCTTGGCCAGTTAGTCCATTTCCTTTCATCTGCGTGTAGTCAATACCATTGCAGATCCTCCCAGCCCGCTGTCACAGCCTGCTTGCCCAAACTCTTGTTCAGTCTCATACTCCTGTCCAAGACAAACCGTCCCCTGGACTTCTGTGCATCTCTTCCCCCACCCCACATGCTTCAGTTTGATCCTTAGTCCGGGTCATTAATTTCAGGGTTTTACAATACACAGTCACTCTTCCTAGGCACAGCTCCCAGTTATGTTCTACCTGCCAGCCTTCAGTTCCTGCTTCCCTCTTCTAAAAGTTCCTTATCCTAGGCTGCTGCCGCCACCGCAGGTCTAATGCCATATCCTCTGCATCCAAAGTGCATTTCTTCACCTCACCTGGTCCCCTTCTCCTAGAGCAGCAGTAATGCTAGATGACAGGGCAGAAGATTTATGATGTGTCTCCTGAAAGCTACTGCATCACAAGGGAGACTTCTTCCCCCTGGGCAAATGTGAAGCAGATCTCCGTAGTTCTGGGAAAGAGCCTGATGATCAGAACCGTGATGAACACTGTGGCATCTACAGGAAGGTAGGGACTCCTTTGGTGTAACAGCTGCTATGCTAAATACTTTCCTTCAGATTGAAAAAGATGGATAGCAGTACACTCCTACGTCACACCATGAGCAAGTAGGACAAAGTGGATATATGAATGTGGTTGCTGATCCCTTTCCTCCCCTCCTGTACAAGTGGAATTAACCAATGATTATTGAGCCTGTAGGGTAGGATGGGGTAGAGGCTTGCTTTGCTTGAGCTTCATCCCAACCCCAGCAAGCATGTGTGACTGAGTTCAAACAAGTCTGTATTCTGTCTGCTTGGAAGTACCAGCCTCTGCCAACATCATACCTCTACTTTGCACTGGGTGGCTGGAACAGAAATGTAGCTCTTGGATTATCTGCGGTCCTTCACAAACCAAGCTTTTCTTACGGATGTACTTTTGGGAGGGGAGGGGAATCTGTCGGACAGCTGTCTTGCATCTCCAGAGTTGCAGTGGGGCTTGTTTATCCAAATTCTACTCTGTACCTTGTTACCTCTTTCTTTTAATAATTCCCATAGGGCATTCATACAAGTCTGGTTTTGGTATATCAGACTGAGAACTGATGATGCATGCTCTCAATTCACAGGCTCTGGAGAGCATTGAAAAGGCACAGGAGCTGGCAGAGGGGCTAGGGAACAAGGTAGGATCCTACACCTTCTCTTCAGCACTGTCTGTAGTCTTCTGTCAGGCAACTTAAGAAGCCAAGCATTGAAGTATCCAGACTTGATATTGCTGATTAATGTCTCTATTAACCAGTCGATGCCTGGGACTTGCTTTGTTGTGAAATAGTTGTGGGATGGGCAGTTGCACAGATGATCATTGTGCAAGTCTGAAAAGCGAGGGAGGAGTCACAGTGGGATAAACGAAGGGGAACGGGAAGCAGTAAAAATGGGGTAAAAAACAGGCAGAGAGTTTGAGGATTAGAGGTCTCTTCTTGAAAAATATTATTGCCCTGAGGAGCAGCTGAACTGTGTGCTGGCTGGAGGCACAGGGAAGTGAAATACAGTGCATGTCGCGGATAGCTCAGGAAAGCCATCTTCACGAAAGAGCTGCAGCGTGCCTCAAACCTGGTGTCCCTTTTGCGATAGACAGAAGTGGGGTTAACAAATGTCCGTATGACTGGTCCTGTCCCTTGGGAAGCTTTCTGTGCTGGTGTTGCTCTAGCTGGCTGATGGGGCTGTTGTGGTTTCCACTCCTCCTGTTACTGGTCTGTCTTCACCTTCTTGTTCACTTTTCTTGTGTTTCTGCCCTTCACGTTCAGCTTGGCCTGCTGAAGCTCCACTGCCTGTGTGAAAGGATCTATCGCACAAAAGGGCAGCAGCGAGAATTGCGTGACCACGTAGTGAAGTTCCATGAGTGCGTGGAGGAGATGGAGCTGTACTGTGGCATGTGCGGAGAGTCCATTGGGGAGAAGAACAACCAGCTCCAGGCGCTGCCTTGCTCCCACTTCTTCCACTTAAAGTAATGAGCTGGAAGTACTGAAGATCCTTGTCGTGACATTAGTCGTAGGGAAGAGCTGTTCATGCGCAGAGCAGGACTGCCCTAGGCATGCTGTTCCCCAGGTCTTTGTCCTGCTGACCTGTGCCCTGTGGGATCCCCTTGCAGTGTCGTGAATCTCATGGCCCTGAAGAGTGAGATTTAGCCGTAATATCCACCCCGCTCCCCGTTCTGCCCTCTGAATGATCACCCACCGATGTCCTCACCTTGTAGGTGCTTAGCCCAGTTCACAGATTCTTATTTAATTCCTCCTGGGGAACCAGTTCTTCGCTCCCAGGGGCAGGTCGGGGTTTTTCCCCTGAATCCCCCCCACTGTGTGTCTTGCCTAGAAGTACACTGAGGTGAAGGGGGGTCTTCAGTCCGTTGTCATGCTCCTGCTATGACAGGAGTTAGCTGTACCCCCATTTTGCTTTTAGAAGAAACATGAGTGTAACAAAAGACCTTCCTAAAAATCAAGAATTTAAGAACGCAGCCTCGCCCTGCCCCCCAAGTTAGGATGGAGCTGCGGGGCAGTAGGAGGTGCCCGAGGAGCTCTGTGGCTCTGCGTACTTTGCCCGCGGGACGGGTGGCGAAGGGCCCAAACCCCTGCCCGGGGGGGTGGGGTGGGTCCCCCGCGCTGCGGCTCCTGCGCGGAGCCCCCC